CCCCGAGAATATTCCAGTTAAATATTTAGATCGAGTCGAGCGTCTTAACAGCTATTTTCAGTCAGTCTGAGCATAGTACTTAGTGTTTGTTTATTTATATATATTTTTACAGAGTGATCAGCAACAGCACTTACATATCCAGATTATCAGTTCAGGTGGGGACTCAGACTGGGTATTACATTGATTATAATTATTCTACCATGTTTGAGGTATGTATTATCAGTATCTGCTCGGAATGGTCGCCGGTCCATTCTGGGTTCTAGTGGCCTTAGTCTGCCCACTAGAGTGTGCACATGGTGTCCGGCATTTATGCTGGCAGATGTTCAGGTATCAGGCAGGTGATTATCTCACCATCAGTATCAGATCATGATTATTCAGTACCTGTTTCAGTTCAGTTCAATTATATATGCCAGGATCATGTTATTTTAATTATTTTCACTGTTTACTTCAGTATGAGTTTCTGCGGAGTACAGTGGCTTTTAGTGCTTACGCTCCCACTATTATTATCTTTTTCAGGTGACAGGGTCGGTCCGGAGGAGTGAGCGGAGCTGGTGGTCGCCGGTGCAGTACATATGTATTTATGCTTTTGCAGACTTATTATATGTATATTATTTGCCACGTTTTTACTTTCGCTGATACTTTCAGACTTTCAAACTAGCGTGTTATTTTTCAGACCTTGATCCGAGCCTTTCGGACAGATTTTTATACTGTATTACACGCTTGTTTGATAAAAGATATTCCGTTTTTCATAAATAATGTTTAATTAATAAAGACAACGGATTTTTAGAAAAGAAATGTTTTTCTGTAGCATCCCGAGATATGATTTCGCAAATTGAAACGTAAATTTTAGAAATGAATTTGCGAAAATCGCACTCTGATTTTAGTAAGCTAGCGGGGTGTTACATTTCGATTTTTTTTAATTTTTTTTTTTTGGGACCCGCCGGGCGGGGGTTCCCGGCGGGTCGGGCGGGCTGGGCATAAATGGGACGTTGGATCTCAACGGCTAGATCGATCCAACGGCCAATTTTTTTTTTTATTATTATTTTTTTAAAAAATGACCATTGGGCCCGACCTAGACCGGCCCGACCCGGCGGGCCCAACGACTCTTTTGTTAGCCGCGGCAGCTTTTGTCAGACGGGTCGGGTCGGGCTTACCCGAACCGACCCGCTTAATAAAAAAATATATAAAAACCAGTGGGTCCGAGACCGGCAGCGGGCCCGCGAATCGGTTACGATGCCAAAAAAATTGAGAACCAAGACCGAACCGCATGGGCACGGTCCGATTCATAGGCCCGCGCGATTCCGGGCTGGTGCCGGTTCGCGGGTCGGGCCACGGGTCGGGCCGACCCGTGGACATGTCTCGTGTTCGAGCCCTGGGAATGCAGTAGTGTTAAAACTCTTGAGGGAGAGTTTTGCCGCCCTTGTGGTCCTACCCGGCTCGATTTCGGATTAGTCGGTTCCCCTGTGGATTCGGAAACCGGAAGGTCCCTGTACCAAAAAAAAAAAAAATGTTTCTTATAGATTAAAAATAATAATATTTTAGTCGTGGGAAAAGATTTAGTATCAATTACTTCTAAACTTTTCTTCTTCGAGTGTCATTGAAAAAAATTGCGAAAACCTCTCCTAGCTAAAGAAATATTGCGGTCTACTTTTGATAAAATATTCACACTCGTCTTTGCTTGCATCACGCACTAGTTTTAAAATTCAAACGCTGATTCACCCGAGTTGGATTTCCAGATCATCGGCTCATCAGTCCAACTAGTATTTGATCCTGTGCAATTGTACAGATATAAAACACGTTTTTTTGTTTGTATTTATTAATTAAACATGTACTTCTATCATATGAAAATTATTACTTTTTCTGAAGTTATTTTAATCATTCAAAATTGATTGAGATTTAAATTTTATTTTAACCATGCAATGTTTAAAATAATTTATATCTTTGTGGCATATATTAAGAAAATTAACATAAATAAAAAAAATTATTGGTGTTTATGATTTTTAGAAAAAAAAAAAATGTCTCAATCATTTTTCTTCCAACAATGCAACCAAATATAGCGGTTACAGCCTGAATGTGCCAATCAACTATAAGTTCCAAACATTAGCCATTACACATTTAAATATTTTGCTACCAAATTTAGAATTAATTTTGTAACTGATCTAAAAAATAAATAATAAAAATATATATATTGAGGTGTAACGGTTTTAGCAGATTAGTGCGTAATTAATTAAAAAAAATGTAACTCTTTTTGGAGAGAAATGAAAATATGTTTTATTAAATGCATCAACTAGTAATTATATATATAGATAATAATAATAATAATAATAATAATAATAATAATAATAATAATAATAATAATAATAATAATAGAAGATTGTAACATAAAAAGATGGTAAACAATAATCATTATTATTAAATTTATTATTAGTAATTAAATATAGAGAGAGAGAGAGATATAAATGATAAAGTTTGTAACGGTTTTTGGAGGGAAATCAGAATGAAATTTTATAAAATGTTATTAGCCACCAATTATATATATATATATAGATTATCGCATCACCATTTCAATTACCGAATCGAATAAGTAATTTTATGAAATGTTAAATTATACTTATATTGTTTTTTTTTTTATCTTATAACAATACATAAAATAATAAAAAGTAAATTATTTGTATGTAAATTTATACCCTAAGTCTCAATAATATTGTATTTTGTTATAGCATTTACTA